TTTGTACCTTGTTTTGTTCAGCTAGTTATGGTTATCATGATTGTGCTCTATGTACAGGGTTGTAATTGGTTATGATGAGGGAACCATCATGGTAAAACTTGGTCGAGAAGTACCTGTTGCCAGTATGGATAACAGTGGAAAAGTTATTTGGGCTAAGCACAATGAAGTTCAGACTGTTAACATCAAGAGTATCGGGGCAGATTATGAAGTAGGGCATCACGCTACCTCTACTTTTGCTCACCTGATTGTTCTCACTGCCTCAAAATTGTTATATGAATTCTTTGTCTGCTTTTCCTCAGGTCGCTGATGGAGAGAGACTGCCTTTGGCTGTCAAGGAAATGGGAACTTGTGACCTCTACCCACAAGTGAGTTTGATTATTGAATATAAATATTGGTGTAATCTTGTGTAACCCTTTCTATAACAAGTGAATTAGATTGGTTCACATAGTTAATGATAGTCTTGTAGAATTAGTGTTTGAAGTTGCTTACACTGTACTACTCATCCTAGTGAAAGGCTGTTGCTATTATTCCTTTAGTTAAACGAGCAGTCCACATATTTGAATTTGTACACGCTATTAGTGAACTTTATATGTGGAATGAGTGATTTATTATTGTTGATGTTGTTCCCAAGAGTTGCTGTTTTTATATTTCCTAGTTTCCTTATCTTAGCAAACTTGAAGAATTCGTTTTGATTTTGTTGTACTGCCATCTTATAGTAGTTTAAAGAGTATGGGACTATGGGTATAATATAGTAGTTGGCATCTGTTTCGATTGGGTTATCATTAGAAGATTGACTACTGAAGTTAATTTACTGAAGATCTTGCACTTCTTCTTTACAGAGCTTGAAGCATAATCCAAATGGAAGGTTTGTCGTTGTTTGTGGAGATGGAGAATATATCATATATACCGCTCTGGCTTGGAGAAATAGGTCATTTGGCTCAGCTCTGGAATTTGTTTGGTCTTCGGATGGAGAATATGCTGTGAGGGAAAGTACTTCAAAGATTAAGATCTTCAGCAAAAATTTCCAGGTTCAAGTTCTTCCTTCCAAATGTCTCCAAAATGTTTGCATATTTTTTGCGCTTTGCGTTAGCTGTTATTTGATTCGTCTCATGATACATTCTTTCCAACATTGGAATCCAATTTTCCCCCTGCCCCCGGCCCCTCTTCCGTCCCTGCATTTCTGCTTTAACCCCTCAAGTTTTGATGAATTACTTCTGACTGAGCTTGACAAGTAGGTTAATAGTTCACCTCGTGAATGAGTTGAATAGTTTTTTTAATGCATTTACTTTCTCTTTATCTTGAAGCTGAAGCATGCAACGAGTTGTAGTTTCTTTCTTTTCACATTCTGACTGAAAAAGTAAATTATGATGGATATTCTCCAGGAGAAGAAGAGCATTCGGCCTACTTTCTCTGCTGAGCGCATCTATGGTGGTACTTTATTGGCAATGTGCTCGAATGATTTCATTTGTTTCTATGATTGGGCTGACTGCAGGTTGATACGGCGAATTGATGTTAATGTCAAAGTAAGATATATAAAGCTTTACCTTGATATAGAGTAGGGTGGCGTTTTACTCTTTTATCTGGTAATTATAATTTTTTGCTGAGTTCTTTTGCTTCAACTTCTTCAGAATCTATACTGGGCCGACAGTGGTGATCTGGTGGCAATTGCTAGTGATACATCATTCTACATACTTAAGTATAATGTAAGAGCTCTTTTTCACCAATCTTGAAGTTACTTGTGGTAAAAAAAATCTGTGCATTATTGTATTAACAATCCTTCGACTGTTTGATGATATGCAGCGAGATGTGGTCTCTGCACATTTAGATAGTGGGAGATCAGTAGATGAACAAGGTGTTGAAGAAGCTTTTGAACTTCTTAACGAGATAAATGAACGGGTCCGGACTGGAATTTGGGTTGGGGATTGCTTCATTTACAATAATTCTTCCTGGAGACTTAACTATTGTGTTGGGGGTGAGGTATGATAGATCCTTTATACTGCTTCTCTGGGCTCTTTTATCTGCAAAACATATGTTCTCATACCGGGCGAGGTGATGAATTTTTTGTTAAATTCAGGTGACCACAATGTTTCACCTTGACCGGCCCATGTACCTGCTTGGATACCTTGCTAATCAGAGCAGGGTTTTTCTGATTGACAAGGAGTTTAAGTGAGTAAGCTTGTGTGATCTTTTAATAAAGGAAACCAGGACTTGTTTCAATAGATACATGAACTCATCTTCTTTCCTGTAGTGTCGTGGGATATACTCTACTCCTTGGCTTGATTGAGTACAAGACACTTGTGATGCGTGGCGACTGGGATAGAGCAAATGAGGTCTTACCATCAATTCCTAAGGAGCATCACAACAGGTTTATTGCTTCTTTAACTCTTTATGATGTGCTTTTCTAGGGAACACTACAAATAAATTATGGGCAGGGTACAATTTTTTTTTTAAAAACTTTTAAACATGGTTGTAAAATGTGATGAACTCGGTCTTTAAAATTGCAGATGCGAACGTTGTAAGTTTATGTTGTAAAATGTATATATCTGTTGCTGTACTGGCTCCAATTAAGTTGTGCGGAATGCAGCTGGGTTGTAGGTCTTGATTTTTGCTTATGTTGGTAGGCATTGTTATCTCTAGTCAATATAGTTACATACTAATACTGGCAATAACCTTTTATTTATTTGATAATTCATTTATACCTCTGAGTAGAATTAGCTGCCCACTCCATCTGAAATTTTACCTTGCAGTTCTCCATGTGTATATCAAGTAGTCTGCCCTTTTATTTGATGGGGGGTGGGGTGGGGTGGGGGG